AAAAAAAAAAAACTTGGAAAGATGGAGAGGGGCAAGGGGATACAAAGGGTTTTGTAATACTTATAAATAATCTTGCCCAGAAGAAGAAAAGTTGTCTTTTAAGAGAAGAAACTGCAGGTATGAAACTAATAATAACTTAGTGATATTTATCACTGAAGAAAAGAAAGAGCTAGTTCTTAAATTTACTTCTCATTTATGTAAATTTACATTTATGAGTATAAATGTAATTTATATTTTTATATTTATAAATTTACTTTTATTTACATTTGTTTGCACTTTGAAAAAGTATTTGATGAGTAAGCATTTGTGTTTTTCTCCAATCCAACTGATGATTGCATAATATAGAAAATTTATATTCTTTTTGCCTATGATAAATTATTCTCCCAGCTTGTTTTAAATCTGCCATAATTACATGCATTATGACAAGAAGAAAAACAAACTATATATAAACTTCCTTATCTGATTTCTGGTGTTACAAGCCAACATAGAGGATTATCTTTTAATTTAAGCATATTTAAAAGAAGATTGTGGGACGCCTGGGTGGCTTAGTGGGTTAAGTGTCTGACTCTTGATTTCAGCCCAGGTCATCACTCACAGTTGTGAAATTGAGCCCTGCTTTGGGCTCTGCCCTGAGTGTGGCACCTGCTTAGGATTCTCTCTCTCTCAAATAAACATTTAAAAATAAATAAATTAAAGCAGATTATGTTGGAGAAGTATATTATTTATACTTTTGATGGTTTTGATTATGATTTGGGACTGTGTTCACTGATGATGAGTGGTTTACTTAAGGATCTGTATAATTAATTATACTCTTAAATTTTTAGGTAAATGTGTGGGAACTATTCATTAATACTTTTATTTTTGTCAGTTACATTAATGCTTTTGTCTTACTTTAGATTTAGGAACATCAAGACTTACAGGAACAACGAAAAGCAATAAGTAACTTCAAACCTGTTATATATAATTGCAGTATAGCATTTAGTAAATAATTCATCACTCTTCTACATAGCTTCTAAATTTCACCTTTAAGTTTCTTTTTTTCCATTTTAAATTGTTTAGAGGATGAGGCACCTGGCTGGCTCAGTTGAAAGAGTGTGCAACTCTTTGAGCCCCATGTTGAGTATAGAGGTTACTTAAAAAAAAAAAAAAAAACTAAAAACACTTGTTTATTTATTTATTTATTTAAAAAAAATTTTTTTTTTCAACGTTTATTTATTTTTGGGACAGAGAGAGACAGAGCGTGAACGGGGGAGGGGCAGAGAGAGAGGGAGACACAGAATCGGAAACAGGCTCCAGGCTCTGAGCCATCAGCCCAGAGCCTGATGCGGGGCTCGAACTCAGGGACTGCGAGATCGTGACCTGGCTGAAGTCGGACGCTTAACCGACTGCGCCACCCAGGCGCCCCTAAAAACCCTTGTTTAGAGGAAAATCATAAAACATCAGTTAGATCCATTTTTGTTTTCCCCGCATTAAAACTTTATCTTACAATACATATTTGTGAAGAATAAGCTTAGTAAAATTGTTCTTCTATGAGGAATTTACGCTTTTCAGGTACCATATTTTATTGGTTTGTTTAGTGAATTTTAATTAAAATTGCCTTTGGATGAAGGGGTAAATTCAAATTTATTGAAGGCAATTCCTTGGGCAGATGTCATAGTACCCAAAACCAGTCTATATAACATCTGCTCAGGAATTATTTAAGTATTTAAGGTCAGTCTTCTTTTTTCCTTGTGGTAACTGTACAAATATTTAAACATTATTATTGTGTCTTTCACTTACTTTTTTCTAACTACTCCCAGTTCCTTTAAGAATTCTCTATATAGTATGGTTTCCAGATACTTCATTCATCATTGTTCTTCTCAAAATACGGAACCCAGAATTGAATGAAGTATTTCACATTTGCTGTGACCAGCTAGAATACCATGAGATTTGCCTGTCTTATTTGGTCATACTTAGCATTTGGCATACATGGCACACAAGACAAAGACTATCTGTTTAGTGGCTGTTACTCGATTAACCCATATCAAACTTTTGTTTTTTTAAAAAATGAAACTTTAATTTAAAATTTGGCCCTCCTCTTATTTTAGGGGCAGTTGATATTTGTACCTAAAATTAAGAACTTTATATTTGCGCTTAATTTCATCTGTTGATCTTGATCCATTATTAAGTCCTTCAGTTTGGCTTCAGATTTAGTGTATGTCATATTAGCCAGGTTTCCATTTTATGTTATCTGTAGATTTGAAAGACTTGTCTTTTTAATGTCTTAGATATTTTCCTTAAATTTTCATGGGTAAAATCCAGTCACATGCTTACTGTAGCCTGTCCTGATTGATCTTGCTCTAAGATATGCTTATTAAGATTGGTGGGTTAGATGTCTCCAAATCTTAACAGTATTCTCATTTAGCTCACCTTTCAGTTTTATCAGACTTCTTCTCAGGGCTGTTGTCTTCCACATCCATTCATTCTAGAGTTTTACTCTATGTTCTATCCTTTTCTACTCTTCATAGATATTACCTATACCGTGTCCATACAACCTCTCAACCTCTCAAATCTATGTTTTTTGATTAACTTTTATTGTAATCTTTAGGCTTCATAAGTCCCAACTATATAGCACTACAGCTATTCATTCACCAAGTGCTGTTGTTTCTTATATTTATCCTTTCCTCTCCAGCCTCATTGCCACTACTGTAGAATAGACCCTCATTGTTTCTCATCCATCACACAGCTTGTTTCCTAACTGGTTCCTCTGTCTGTCTCTGACACCCTTACAATTCACGATGCAACCTGAGTTAGATTTTTCTAAAATGTAATTTTGGTTATGCCATTCCCATTGGTTTCAAGACAAAGTTTAAATTCCTCAGCTTCACCTTAAACATCCTTTAGAAATTGGCCACAATCCACCTATCTTTGATGGGTACACTAAGAAGAAGCTATTTCTATTTAAAATATTTAAGATTAATATTTTCAAGAATAGTTTTGAAGGTTGCATGTGAATTGAATTTTAGGAAGATTTGTTTGAAATTTGTTATGACTGAAATTTTGTTACAATTAGTGAAATCTAGAATCACCACCACTGTGCTGTCTTTGTAGACATTACTGAATGTGCTGGAGAAATTTCTGAGAAGTCTCATTCAAACTGTGTATTAAGTCTCATAGACTTATTTAATTTTTTTTTTTTTAATTTTTTTTTTTTCAACGTTTATTTATTTTTGGGACAGAGAGAGACAGAGCATGAACGGGGGAGGGGCAGAGAGAGGGAGACACAGAATCGGAAACAGGCTCCAGGCTCTGAGCCATCAGCCCAGAGCCCGACGCGGGGCTCGAACTCACGGACCGCAAGATCGTGAGCTGGCTGAAGTCGGACGCTTAACCGACTGCGCCACCCAGGCGCCCCTCATAAACTTATTTAGAGCATTCTTTGTATTCATTTTTATTGCTCTTTAATATAAAATCTAATAAGCTATAATTAAAGTTAACTTTTTAAAAAGAAATCAAAAATAAACATTGTCTTTTTATCAGAGATAGACTTTCTAGTTTTTAACAGTGTAGTTTGAATTTACAATGTAGTCCAAATAAAGGAAAGAACTGAGCAGTTACTTATAAAGGAAGAGAAAAATAGATGCCTGCCAGGAATACTGGTTTTAAGGCATATTGGGAAGCAGAGATGATAGGGTGAGGATATATTAAAGGAAATAAACAGAACTGCTTAAAAGCCATTTTATAAGGTCTTTAAAAATAATTATACATTTAGTATTGTGGAATTTTCAAAGTGCTTTAACCTACAAATCTCATTTTATGAGATGAAAGAAAAAAAATTAATGAAATGTAAAGAAGTTGAGACCTCATCAAGGTCATATGGCTAGTTTTTGGCACAGTTGGTATTAGAATCTAGTTCTTTGACTGCTAGTTTGATACTTCTCCCCAAATTAACAGGAATTCTTGCTGAAATGGAGATAGCATGGAAAAACAAGCAAAACATCAGGGTACCAACACAGACTCCTTTTCAGCACATTATTACTAATAATGTAGCCTTTAGAATTGTGTTATATATAAAAATATTGTGAATGGGGCACCTGGGTGGTTCAGTCAATCAAGCGTCAGACTCTGGCTCAGGTTATAATCTCACGGTTTGTGGATTCGAGCCCTGCGTGGGGCTCTGTGCTGATAACTCAGAGCCTGGAGCCTGTTTCAGATTCTGTGTCTCCCTCTCTCTCTGCCCCTCCCTTGCTTGTGCTCACTCACTTTCTCTCTCTCTCTCAGAAATAAATAAACGTTAAAAAAAAATTCTTTTTTAAATACTGTGAGTGCAGTTAGAGGTATCAAACTGCAACATTAGAATAGGGAAGTGGAAGTTCATGAATCTGGAGGATTTCCTGTATTCATAAACACTAATATGGCCAAATTCTTAGTCACACAGTCCTAGAAAAGAGCCCTAAGAGAAACCTGCTCAACCAAGAGTTATGGTCACTCTTCCAATTCTTCCACCCCTTTCTTCTCATTTAACCATAACCATTGCCACCTGGTATTTGTGGGGGCTTGATTGACAGTGAGAAAGCTCCATGTCTTCTGCAACATCAGCAAGTACTATGGAATGCTGAAGGGTTGCAATAGAGACCAGCAGAAAGCAGCTAAGAAGCTTTGATGTCTGGTAACTGGTGAGAAGTCCCCAGTCAAGAGTGATATGGATGTAAGGTTTGGCACATTATAAGTTCTGCCATTCTCTGACTCTAATTATTAAAATTAGGCTAAGGATATAATGGAATCCTCATTCAGGAATTAAGATTCACATTATTCGCCCTGAGGTTGAAAAAAAAAACCAAGCATGAACAAGCTAGTAGGATCACAAACCACTATTCCAGGCCAAACTTACAGTAATACAGAACTTGTTAATTCAGAGGGCAGATCCAATGTTAGTATAAAATGTCCAGATACAGGTCACAAAGCACATATGAAACTTGAGGGCATCCTGAAGACAATTGTAAAATGTTGCCCTCTTGTTGCTTGTTTAGGCAGTTCTCTGCTAAGCAAGGAGAACTATAAAAACCTGGTACTTTAAAAAGGGAAAGAGAAAATACAGTGGGATAACTTTCAGTATCCTTGTATAGGTCCTCAACTTGTATTTTCTCATAGAAATGATATTAAACACTTATATCGATAATTGTCAATAATACTATTTTGTATAGTGCCTGTATAATCTCCCAAGCATTTTGCTGTATGTTTGATGCTAAAGAAACTCTCAGATGGATAGGGCAGGAATTACTCATTTATTTATTTAACAAATATCGAATGTCAGTTTTCTCAATGCATAAGATATGTTAATACAGCAGAGTACTTTTATGATAATAGTGTTTATATTCTAGCAAGACAGACAATAAGCAAACCAAAACAAAGAGAGTGAATAAGTTCTAGAGTATGTAGCAGGTGATAAGTTATAGAATAAGGAAGAGCAGCTTAAGGGATGCCTGGGTAGCTCAGTTGGCTAAGTGTCTAACTTTGATTTCAGCTCAGGTCATGATCTCACAGTTTGTGAGATTGAGCCCAGCGTTGGCTCTGTGCTGAACATGGAATCTGCTTGGGCTTCTCTCTCCCTCTCTCTGCTCCTCCCCCGCTTGTGTGTGCCTGTTCAGTCTCTTAAAATAAATAAACATTAAAAAAAATGAGGGAGGAGCTTTAGGGGGGATTGATTGGCTGTGGGGTGGAGCATGTGGGGTAAGGCAGTTGAAATCGGCGGGATAGTTAGAATACAATACTTACCTGACTTGAAAGAAGGTGAAGCAGTTAGACATGTGAGTACCTGGTATGAGAATAGTTTAGGCAAATACCAGCCAGTACAAAGGTCATAAAGTGGCACATGTATGCTTGATGGTTCAAAGAATAGCAAAAAGGCCAGTGAGTCTGCAGCAGAGTGGAGTGGAGTGGAGTGAGGGAGAAAGTGTTATACAATCTTTGCTTAAAGACAAGCTCAGATTCTGATAGTTTAAAGACGTTACCAAAGTCTGGTTAACATAGAACTCAAAACCATTTATAGTGACTCTCGATTCTTTATGTCCTATAGTTGTTTTCACTGAAAGTTCTCTCCTATTTCCAGAAGGGGTGGATTAAAAAAAAATGACTAACAACCTTTATTATAACTTACATTTTTAAAAACTTACTTATTTTGGGTAAGAGCATGTACAAGTGGGGATGGGACAGTGAGGGGGTTAGAGAGACAGAGAGAGGGAGAGAGAAAGAGAAAGAATCCCAAACAGACTCCACACAGTGCAGAGCCCAACACGGGGCTCAAACTCCTGAACTGTGGGATCATGACCTGAGCTGAAATCAAGAGTTGGACACTTAACTGACTGAGCCACCCAGGTACCCTGATTATAATTTACACTTTATTCTTCATCATAAACAGTCTTTATTACATTAATCTCGGCTAGCTTGATTTTATTTTCACACAGTTTTTGCTAAAGGAGAAATAATAGCTTTGGCACAGTTTGATTTTATTTTTTACTTTGTTTTAAGTTATTAAATTGAAAAAAAAATTGAAACCAAATCTTTGATTTTGCTTTTAGGAATAACATACTAATCATGTGACTTATATAATACTAAATAAGAAGGTCTTAATTTACATTTATAATGTCATTACACTTTTTTCTAATCTTTTAAAGATACGGACATACTGCAGGAGAAGCTACACATGATGCAGTAGATTCTGCCATCAATGTTGGTGTAACTGCCTATAATATTGACAACATTGGTATCAAAGCAATGGTGAAGAAAACAGCAAAACAAACAGGACAAACCCTCCTTGAAGACTATAAAATAGTTGATAATTCTAAGGGGGGACATCAAGAAGGAAGAGCAAATGTAAACATGAAAAGGGAGAAAGGTGAGCAGACAGAGGAACGAGAGAAGAATGAGGCAAAGAAGAAAGAAAAATGATGGAAGTGCTGTGAATCACCTATACCAAAGCCTTACAAGGTGGATGCATTTTTTTTTTAATAGGCAAATGTGGAATTCCCCACAGATTAACCAGTATTTTAAAAATGTATTCATTCCTACAAAGTGTTTCATAAGCTTTATAGCATGTATTCTACTTAAAAGGAAAGAATCTGTATTCTTGCATCTGGCTTTTACAAATACAGGATTATATAGTCTCAGTAAGTTTATTTTTCCTAAATGTGGCTGAAATATTTTTGCAGTTAAAATAAGACTAATGAAACATTTGCTTTAATAAACCTCATTAAACCTAATGTTAAGCTATTTTTGTATTTGCCGTCTTTCATAAAGCAAGGTAGGAAATTATATATTTACATAAAATTTCGCATTTAGTAACCTTAGCTTGAGTTGTACTTGGAAAGACCAACTTAAAATATTATTTCCTGGTTTTGCACTAATTGTGGATTTTTTTTTTTTAGGTGCTTGCCAAAATTTTCAGTGTGTAAGCTAGACACAACAACTGTAATCCTAAACTAAAAAAACTCTCAGATAATATTTAAAAGATTTTTTCAATACAGGGACTAGGCTAATCATGAAAAATAAAATGAGGTTCTATAAAATTATTTGGTAGCTTGTATCTTTGTTAGGAAGTGGGATGGCCTTTTTGATTTAGAATGAATACAAAGATTTTTAAGTCTTCTGGATTTAGACTGGTGTTGATCTAGGAACTTAAGAAATTTTGGTGTATGATTTGTGTTAAAATATGAAGTGATATCATGAGCTTAATAGGACAAAGTTGCTTTAAGAAATCATTTTACCATATCCACTTTAAGTTATTCCAAGAGGCTAAAATTTTATAAAAATACAAGCAGGATTCTTTGGATGGTAAATATATTTTTAGTTTGGGATTTAGTCATTGGAATTTTATATGTTAGAAAGCCAGTAAATTGTTAGGAAATGTTCTGTTCATAGTCATGGTAAAGAATGTGAAGGCTTTAGACTTAATCCATGGCAAGTAGGTTTAACAGTTTCCACTCTGGCAGAAGACAGGACACTTACAGACCTATAAGGTACAAATATATAAATAAGTACCTAACAGCATTTTATTTTTGTCTACAGATTTAAAATGATTGGTACTGGTGTTCATAACTATTGTCCATTCTCATATTTCTAAACGTCTAATGGCTACTTAGTTTATTAGATTTTATTTGAAACTGTCTTAAAAAATGTGCTTTGTGAATAAACTTTCTGAATTGCTTGTCCTCAAATGTGTTCACAGGGTTGTATTTCGGGAACACATAGAATTGATGGATCCTTTCCCTAAGGCCAAGGATAATGTACTAATTAAAGTGGAAATAAAAATGAGTTGGCATATAGCTTCCAGTTAGTCTCTGCCTTAAGTTTGAGAAGTGGGATGACAAATAGTGGAGCCTAAAGATTACAAAGTTCACTGAGACCAGAGGTCGAAAAGTTGGATTTGTGTTGTCCATTTTCCTTTATTCCGTTCTGCTTACTTGGTTGTGGGTTGCTTTTTCATATTAATGGCTAGACAGACAAAATCTTCATAAGTATAGCTTCTATATTAGAGTTTTCCAGAGAAACAGAATAGGGGAGATAAATACGTGTGTGTGTGTGTGTGTGTGTGTGTGTGTGTGTGTGTGTGTGTGTGTGTGTGTGTGTGAGAGAGAGAGAGAGAGAGAGAGAGAGTATAAAGAGATTCATATATAAAGAGAGAGTATAAAGAGATTTACAAGGAATTGACTCATGAAATTATGGAGGCTGCAAATTCCCAAGATAGCCCTTCAGTGAGCTGGAGACTTAGGAGATCTAATGTGTTGTTTCAGTCCAAGTCTGAAGGCCTGAGAACCAGGTGAGCTAATGGTGTAAGTTCCATTCTGAAAGCCTGTAGGCTCAAAACTCAAAAAGAGCCCATTTCAGTCTGAGTATAAAGGCCAGAAAACTAAGGATTTAAACCAAGTTCAACTAAATAAAGTTCCTTCTTAGCCTTTTTGTTCCATTCAGGTCCGTTGATTGGATGAGGTCCATTGTCTTTGGGAGGGCAATCTGATTTATTAGGTCTACTGATGGAAATGTTAATCTCATCCAGGAACACTCTCACAGATACATCCAGAATAATACTTGGCCAAGTGTGTGTACATCTTGTGGCCCAGTTAAACTGACAAAATTAACCATCACAGCTGCTTTGTAGTCCCGTTTTCACTGTAGAGAGGCCCTTACCTAGTAGCTCTGCTTTGCTGTTTAGTATTCATAAGATACACCATATGAAAAACAACAGTTCTCAATATTTACTGCTACCAGGGTTTTTCCTCATTTTGCCTCAACAGACTGTCCCTTCCTCATGCTGTATAGGGTAGTTTTCTGGGAGTACGTCAAGGCACCAACTGTCTAGAAATAATGATAGCTAATGTTTAAGTAGTGCTTACTGTGAGCCATTAATGTTCTAAGTGCTCTTACATACATTAACTCATTTTAACCTCACAACATTCCTATGAGTTACATACTATTACAATTTCATTTTATAGAATCGGAAACTGAGATAGAGATCAAAGAGAGGTTCTTGAGAAAGATCTAAAAGTATGAAAAACGTTCTACACTAACCTCAAAAAGGAGAGACCTACATGGAGTGATAGGCCAGACATCTTTCTTAAACTGAGGTAAATAGGAAAGGACAAATGGCCTTTATAGATATCCTCTGACTCCAGCTGCTTAACACTAGTTGTTTTTATTTTATTTTAAATTACAGTTCCACTCTCTTGATACTTGGTAGAAAATTGCCCACGTTATTACCAAACAGATCATTAGTCTTCGGTTTTGGTGATAGTGTGAGCTTGTCTTTTTCTCTGCCTTCATGGGTATTTTAGGCCAAGCTAAGAAAAGTGAAGCTTAGGGCTTGTTAGCCAGAAATCCTTTTATATTTCACTTTTTAGTTAAGCCTGAGTAAAGCTCTGCACAAACAGAAACTAGTTCTCTGGTCTGTTCTTGCCAAATTCAAGATTTCCTATTGTTTTCACCATTTTGTATTTAGTTTAGCAACAGAAATACTTAAAAGAGAACATTATATTTCTCGATAGCTTTGTTTTCTTCAAAATTTTTTTCTTTCACAGTATATTTTCAAGATACAGAAAGATGAATTAAAAATTATAAGAACATCGATGAGGTGGGAAAAAAACTCCCAAGTAATATCTTCAAATGTATTCTATGTAAAAAGTTGTCACAAGTGAAGAAACTGATCACCCTGGAGAAGCTATTCATTGGAGGAAACAGTAACAATGAAAAGTGTTCTTTGTACACATACACACACCAATCTATTTTGTTCAAAATTGGAAGCCAGCTGAAGAGCAAATTGTTAGAGTGTGCTATTGAAGAACCAAGATCTCTGTGGTAAGGGACAGGGTCCCAGCATTTGCAGGTTTAAGAAGCTTCATAGACAATATCCCTCGTTAACAAAACATTGTTATTTAGAGAGTATCTGAGTTGGGACCTAAAAGAATGAGGTTTTGGTATGCGGTAGTTTTGCTAATTTAAGTTTTCTGAGTTAAAGCCACTCTGATGACAGGATTCAGAGTATAGCTGTGGAAGTGGAGTGGAGATTAAAGTGATGAGAGTTGCAAGTTGAAGGTCAAGGTGTGGGCAAGACTTCCAGTGGAAAGACCACTTTGATGTCAAAGTCAGACAATGGATGACTGTGAAGTCTTTGGGAAGTGAGGAATAGATGGTGTTACATCAGGAAGGAATGCCCATTTATAACTGCACCAAAATCAAAATACCTAGGAAAACACTTAACCAGGAAGGTAAAAGGTCTGTATTCTGAAAACCATATAACACTGAAAGAAATTGAAGATAACACAAATGGAAAGATACTCCATGCCCGTGGATTGGAAAAACAAATAATGTTAATATGTCCATACTGTCCAAAGCAATCTACAGATTTAATGCAATCACTATCAAAATACCAACATTTTTGACAGAACTAGAATAATCCTAAAGTTTGTATGGAAACACAAGACCTTAGCTAGCCAAGCCATCTTGAAAAAAACAAAACTGGAGGCATCACAGTCCTAGATTTTAAGATGTATTACAAAGCTATAGTAATCAAAATACTATGGTACTGATGCAAAAACAGACACTTAATGGGACAGAACAGCCCAGAAATAAACTCATGATTACATTTCACAAAAGAAGCAAGAATATGCAATGGGGAAAAGACAGTCTGTTCAACAAATAGTGGTGGGAAAATTGGATAGCTACATGTGAAAGGATGAAACTGGACCACTTTCTTATACACAAAAATAAGCTCAAAATACATTATAAAGATCTAATTGTAAGATCTGAGGGGCACCTGGATGGCTCAGTGGGTTAAGCATCTGACTTCAGCTCCGGTCCTGATCTCATGGTTCATGAGTTCCAGCCTCACACCGGGCTCTGTGCTGACAGCTCCGAGCCTGGAGCCTGCTTCAGATTCTATCTTCCTCTCTCTCTCTGCCCCTCTTCTGCTCACGCTCTTTCTTTCAAAAATAAAAATAAAACTTTAAAATAAATAAAACTTTAAATAAACTTTTAAGAAGCTTTAAAAAAACATTTCTTAAAAGAAATACGACCTGAAACCATAAAAGCCCTATTACATCAAAATAAGCAGTACAGCAAAAAGAAACAGTCAACAAAGTTAAAGGTCAGTTTATGGAATGGGAGAAGATATTTGCAAATGACATATCTGACAAAGGGTTAGTATCCAAAATCTATAAAGTACTTATAAAACTCAACACCCAAAAACACAAATTTTCCAATTTATGGGGTTTTTTTTAATGTTTATTTTTGAGAGAGAGAGGGAGGCACAGAATCTGAAGCAGGCTCGAGGCTCTGAGCTGTGAGCACAGAGCCCAACATGGGGCTTGAAGTCACAAATCGTGAGATCATGACCTGAGCCAGTCAGAGGCTTAACCTACTGAGCCACCCAAGCGCCACTAAATTTTTCAATTTAAAAATGAGCAGAAGATATGAACAGATATATCTCCAAAGAAGATAACAAAAATGGCCAAGATGAGATATCACCTCACACCTGTCTGAATGGCTAAAATCAAAAAACACAAGAAACAAGTACAGCAAGGATTTGAGAAAAGGGAACCCTCATGGATTGTTGGTAGGAATGAAAACTGGTATAGCCACTGTGGACCACAGCATAGAGATTTCTCAAAAAACTAAAAATAGGGGCGCCTGGGTGGCTCAGTCGGTTAAGCGTCCGACTTCAGCCCAGGTCATGAACTCACGGTTCGTGAGTTCAAGCCCCGAGTCGGGCTCTGTGCTGACAGCTCAGAGCCTGGAGCCTGCTTCGGATTCTGTGTCTCCCTCTCTCTCTGCCCCTCCCCTGCTCATGCTCTGTCTCTTTCTCTGTCAAATTTAAAATAAATAAACATTAAAAAAAACTAAAAATAGAACTACCATATGATCCAATAATTCTACTACTGGGTATTGACCCAAAGAATGCAAAAATACTAGTTTGAAAAGATATATGCACCCCCATGTTTATTGCAGCATTATTTACAATAGTCAAATTATGGAAGCAGCCCAAGTGTCCATTGATAGATGAATGAAGATGTATATATATACAATGCAGAAGTACTCAGCCATAAAAAATAATGAAATCTTGCCATTTGCAACAACATGGATGGATCTAGAGGGTATAACGCTAAGTGAAATAAGTCAGAGAAAGACAAATACCATCATATGTGGAATTTAAGAAACAAATGAGCAAAGACGAAAACAAAGAACAGACTTTTAACTATAAAGAACAAACTGATGGTTACCAGAGGAAAGGTAGGTGGGGGGATGGGTAAAATAGATGAAGGGGATTAAGAGCACACTGTGATGAGCACTAGTAATGTATATAATTGTTGAATCACTATATTGTACACCTGAAACTAATATAACACCGTATGCTAACTTTACTGGAATTAAAATTGAAATTAAAAACAATTTAAAAGCCATGCATATCAGAGGAGTGAGGGTTTTTTTGTAACTTTTTAAATTTTTTTTTAATACAATTTATTGTCAAGTTGGCTAACATACAGTGTATACAGTGTGTCCTTGGTTTTGGGGGTAGATTCCCATGATTCATCACTTACATACAACACCCAGTGCTCATCCCAACAAGTGCCCTTCTCAATGCCCATCTCCCATTTTCCCCTCTCCCCCCCACCCCCATCAACCCTCAGTTTGTTCTCTGTATTTAAGAGCCTCTTATGGTTTGCCTCCCTCCCTCTCTGTAACTGTTTTTCCCCCTTCCCTTCCCCCATGGTCTTCTGTTAAGTTTCTCAAGTTCCACATATGAGTGAAAACATATTTCACTTAGCATAATACCCTCCGGTTCCATCCACGTTGCTGCAAATGGCAGGATTTCATTCTTTCACATTACCAAGAGAAATATATATTTATAATATGATGGACATTTTGGTTCTTTCCATAATTTGGCTGTTGTTGAACGTGCTGCTATAAACATTGGGGTACATGTGCCCCTATGAATCAGCACCAGAGGCGTGAGTTTTTACATGAAGATGGAAGAGTAGTGATCTGGAAGTAGCATTACAGGTGGAGAGAATTCTTGCTCCTCCTGACCCAAAGAAGCAGGGGGTTCTACAAAGAAACCAGAGAACAAAAACATCAATTCATGGCTTTTGATATTTCAAAAGCTATTGTTTAGGTGTAAATCAAAGATTTGGAAGAATATATAATACGTGACTATCCCTCTACCATCCCTATCTCACTCCCACCCCCACTCCTATAAGTCTGTAGGAGAGTCTATAAGAGAGAAGAACTGAGAACTCTGGCTAGGGAAGAAAGGAGAAAGCCACTAAGGCAGGGAATAGACGCTGGTGAGTGTCTGAGAGACCCGCAACTTGCTCCCCACAACCTGTCCCAGGCTAAGCACAAAAGTGGGAGTGCAGGATTTGCCATACCACTTGAGTAATTGACAGAATTCTTTCATATTACACTTCTTTTTATGTTTTATTTTTATTTTTTAAAGTATATTGAGAGCAAGCAGGGGGGGGGAGAGAGAGAGAGAGAGAGAGAGAGAATCCCAAGCAGGTTCTGCACCATCAGCACAGTGCTGGGGGGGGTGGAGAGCCGGGCTTGAACTCACAAACTGAGATCATGACCTGAGCCAAAACCAAGAGTTGGATGCTCAACCAACTGGGCCACCCAGGTGCCCTTCATATTACACTTCTTTTTAAACTGTAGGTTTTATTTTTTTAAGTTTATTTATTTCCTAACAGAGAGAGAAAGAGCACGCGCGTGCGCATGAGCTAGGGAGGGGCAGAGAGAGAGGGAGACACAGAATCAGAAGCAGGCTCCAGGCTCCGAGCTGTCAGCACAGAGCCCGATGCAGGACTCAAACTCACGAACCGTGAGTTCATGACCTGGGGTGAAGTCGGACACTTAACCGACTGAGCCACCCAAGCGCCCCTGTAGGTTTTATTTTTAAAGCAGTGAACATATTTAGCATCTCTTTGTACGTAATTGATATTAATTGCACTGGTTCTTCAAAATGCTTAAAATTCTCTTTTGCCTACAAATCTGGGTTGTTCTTTTGGACATTAAACATGTTATCCATCAAATGTGTTACTTACTACATTTATGTTCTATTCAAACAATTCAATTCCAAACTGTCCCCATGCTTAAAATATCCCCCAATATAGATTTTTAAACTTCCTTAATCTCTTTTCTCCTTTAAAACCTACTTTCTAATTGAAGACTTTGCTTAGCTCCAGCATGCATTTAATAAACAATTCTATTTTACACAAACTTTAAGTGTAGCAACCATAGGTCGAAAACTTTTGCTGTTTATATTTTTCCCATAAATTATCAACTTTCCAAAAATATGCTGATAAGCAGCAACCAAATGAAACAAGCATTTACCACATGTGCTTTTTATGCTTAAAAAATCTTTGAAATTGTCGTTTATTAGCATAACCGTACATAACTACTAAGGGTCCCTCTTCTCAGCACTAAAGATCAAGCAGTAAGCAAAATAAATTCTGTACCAGAGTACTAGTGCTGATTTCTGTCAGACAACAAGGTCTCACATTCACACTTCTCAAACTGATTCACAGTAGGGAAAATGCACCAGAGAAGTCAAAGGAAAAGGCAGATCAATCTTTCTAGTCAAAGATGGATGGGAGCCAGGGATAATACTAAAGCACAGACCTATCAGGAGCAGAATGCAAACTTTGTGATTACAAATATAAGCTTGAAATTTCAAACTGTAGTGGGCAGCTCTGACCTATGTCCATGGACAATCAGTCCCCAGATTTGTCAAAACTCAAAGACAGAACAATCTGGACTGGAAACTCAGAGATAAGGCAGTGCCTTCTCAGGGTCTGCTCCTCCTCACTCTTAACCAGAGCCTCTGGTACTCGGTAAACTGAAGCAAAGAAAGACACAGCCATTCTTGGATTCCGCATTTCCCTAACAAGGACTAAGAGTAAAGTGAAGAGTGGGCTTGGGTCAGTGTTTAAAACAGCACCAGAGCCAATGGTTCCTTACTCCCTTGCAGTCGGCCATGTGGCTGGTGCACGTGCCCCCTCCACCAGTTTGGGAAAAGGAATGAGGCCGCAGGTTTCCGGCACTGAGGAACTTTTCTCGACGAAGTGTTCCCGGGGCAGCGAAACCTCTTTCTGTTTTAGCAGCACTCCAAGGCTCAGCGGGCGGACTGCTCCCCGACTCGCTCGGAATGCCCTTCCCGGCTCCCTGGCAACGCCCTGTGACGTCACCGCGAGGCGCCGAGAGCGGGCGACTGTGAGTCAGTAAACCTTAGTGACAGTTCGAGACAATGCCCTCACGTTCCCAGCTTCTGGGAGGGTGTCAGGTTTTGTGGTGTTAGCTGTAAGAGGGGAAGGGCGTGGGACGTTTCTGACCTGACACTATGGAGGAAGGAAGAGGCGCCAACTTCGACGGTGTGAGCACCGACCGCCTTGAAAAGGAGTTACTGGAAGAAATCCATCAGAAGTGAGTTGAAGGGCGGCGCGCGGACTTTCGCGCGCGTGTAGGGTTCAGGTACACGTAGCTCAAGGAAATGCACCTGTGTGTGCTCCGCCCTTCCAAGCTGAAGCCCCTGAGGTCGATGTGACACAAGCAGTGTGATTAATACCCGGGGAGATCTGGCGACATCTAAAATCAGTGTTTTATAGGAAAGATTCATTTGCTTCTTTGATTAGCATTTGGTATTAGAAATAGGCAGATTAAGGGGCGCCTGGGTGGCGCAGTCGGTTAAGCGTCCGACTTCAGCCAGGTCACGATCTCGCAGTCCCTGAGTTCGAGCCCCGCATCAGGCTCTGGGCTGATGGCTCAGAGCCTGGACCCTGTTTCCGATTCTGTGTCTCCCTCTCTCTCTGCTCCTCCCCCGTTCATGCTCTGTCTCTCTCTGTCCCAAAAATAAATAAACGTTGAAAAAAAAATTTAAAAAAGAAATAGGCAGATTTTGAGGTAGGATTTTCTGTCTTTAGGATCAGATCAGATGGGAGTGTATTGTGTGCGTATACTATAATGCTAACCTATGTGTCTTGTTTTCATGTTCCACTAAATTCAGCTTTTCTGTTTCAAATTCCAAAGGTTTTGTTTAGTTATGCTTATCTTTCATCCCATCCCTTTAGAAGAACTTAAAAAATGGTGGCATTTTGTAAAAATAACGCCTCTCCTATATACTTAAAAATACTCAATATTATACTTCATATTAAATCTTTGAAACATTTTAAGTTTTTTTTTTTTTTTTTAAATAACCCCAGTCCCACCAGCCAGCCCCACAAGATTTAGACCCTCTTATGTGCCCTAAAGCTTCCTGAGCTTTCCTCTATTGTGGCTCCAGCCACATTATTTTAGTTAGTTATTTCTTGATCTGATACTAAACCATAAACATTCCCTTAGGCAGTAGACTATAAGAGCAAGTACTTAGAGGAATCCTGCATAAATTCAAATCCCAGCTCTTATCACTTAGTAAGTACCTGATCTTGGGCAAGTTAATGAACCACTAAAGCTTCAGTGTTCTGAACTCTAAGATAGGTGTAAGAACTATTACACTTGATGTGGTTGTTGGCAGGGTTGAGTGAAAAGAATGTAAAGCACTTCTCATCCGCTTATAATAAGCATTCAGTGGAAGCCGCTGCTGTTGCTATTGTTCAGTTCACTTATTCACTGTAGTATTTTAAGCATTTAGCACAATGCTTTGACATAATAGGCAACCAAAAATACATAGTGCATAAATGATTCGGTCATCAAATTAAAAAAAAACATTTTTATGTTTATTTTATTTTTGACAGAGAGAGAGAGAGAGAGACATAGCATGAACGGGGGAGGGTCAGAGAGAGAGGGAGACACAGAATCTGAAACAGGCTCCAGGCTCTGAGCCATCAGCACAGAGCCCGACGCGGGGCTTGAACTCACAGACTGCGAGATCATGACCTGAGCCGAAGTTGGGTACTCAACCGGCTGAGCCACCCAGGTGCCCCTCGGTCATCAAATTTTAATAGTTAATGTGCTAATTTACTAATGTCCTAAATACATCATCTCTGGAATGCTATTTGTATGTGTGTGTATATGTGTGGGTTTTTTTTTTTTATTAGTGTTTCTTTTTTCCTCTTTGTTTCAGATTATCAGTTATTACCTGGCTATTCCGTTCTCCAATAAATTGCAGTTCATTTGCTGGTCTTTGAGAAGCCAGATAACAACTTCTTGGGATCATATGTAAGTTAAGAGTAAAGGGTTTCTAATGGTCACCTGCAGGCCTCTGAGCCTTAGTGCATATTAGTGTCCTTGTCGACCTTGGTAATCAGAAGCCTCCATTTGCCTGATTTCTGATTGTCAACCATGCCTTCAATTAGAGACATTTCATAATAAATTGTTCCTAAAGTAGTTGTGCATTGATATGTGTTATTCTTTTCATGTTATAATTGGATCATAATTAACAAGATATTTGTAATAATAGGGATATAGTGCAACTATCAATGCTTGAAATAATACACAGGATAGAGGAACTGGAAGCCAAACTCAATACTGATGACAAAGGTATGTAAATAAATATTTTTATATGTGACTCTGGTATAATTATTGTTTATTTTGCCAAGATACTGGTAGTGCATTAAATTAAATACAGGAAATAGTAGTACCAAGATCTCAGCACTGCTTTTTGGCAGCATTAATAATAATTTATTAATTATTAGGCTTTAAAGCCAATATTTTCTTTTTTTCAATTTTTTTATGTTTATTTTTGAGAGCGAGAGTGAGAGAGAGCATGAGTTGGGGAGGAGAAGAGAGAGAGGGAGACACAGAATCCGAAGCAGGCTCCAAGCTCTGAGCTGTTAGCATAGAGCCCAATGCAGGGCTCGAACCCACGAACCATGAGATCATGACCTGAGCCGAAGTCAGATGTATAACCAACTGAGCCACCCAGGCACCCCTAAAACTAATATTTCCAATGTCAAACGTGTTACTGCATAATTATTCACCTACTTACAACTTCAAAATGTTCATTAGTTAGCAAAACTTTTGTTACATGACATCAATACATTATTGTTTTTGGTAGATAATAAAATACAAGTTTTCTATTTAATTTAATACCTCTCATATCTTAACTTCTGTATTTGGCCATAACTTTAAAATCTTTATCTAGGTTTTGGCTATTTGTGTTGAAAGAATGGTGGACGAGTGCTGTGCATACACACACACACACATCTGCACACTCACATACCCACATATCTTTAAAACTTAAAATGTATGTAAGATACTAATTTATTCCACAAATATTGAGACCTGCCATATTTCAACACATTGAATGGAAGACCTTTCTTTTCCCTGTTCTAAAAAGGTTCACTGACTATTGGGAGAAAGTATCAAACTAAAATATGAATATGAGAAGGGATGTAACTTCTGCATGAGGAGGAAACCCAGTTAAGGGAACCTAACACAATTTAGATGAAGGCATAAAGACAGCCTTTCCAGAGGAGGCAGTGCTTGAACCGAATGCTAAAGAACAGTAGGGTTTTATTAAGCTTATGGGGGTGGACTTTGGTTCTTAAACCCATTTATACTTTTCTATTGGGGAAGCCATGAACAAAAAGAATTAGTAACTATATAGGAAATAAAATGCTACTTTTCTTAAGTACCCAAGGCTCTTTTAAAGCTTGATTGGAGAACACTTTTTTGTCCCAATTCTGAAGTAGCTTCCTACGTCTTCACATCTGGGATATAACTATATCTGGGCTATAACTGGCTCTGTGGCAGGCGGACTGTGAGTGCACTTACCAAGTAGTTGAAGTGGCAAGGCTAGCTGAATTTTCTCATCTATCCAGTTACAGGCAAAACGGGTCACACTCACAGATATGCATGCAATGAATAACCATGCCCACTAGTAAAATGTAAGCCCAACAAATTGTATTATGAGCAAATCTTCTCATGGGGAGGAGCTGGATTAAAAAAAAAGACAACATACAAGAAGTTAAACAGCATTCCCTACTAATGTAATGGGAAATACATTAGTAGCCAAGATGATAGGCAAAATGTCCATATTTTGACTATATTTATATCCTCTGCAATTCAATTAGAAAAAAAATGAAGTTCTCAGTAATAAATATGAGTAGAACAGAGAGAATTCATGAGTATGGAAAATATCCAACTTGTTTTTTCCTCAAAGAAATTTGAATTGAATTGAAACACATACAATTTGTTGCCTATTGAAGAAGTAGAGTTTTTGTTTGTTTGTTTGTTTGTTTGTTTGTTTGTTTTTAAGTGAAATTGGAACTTTATACATTACTGTTAGCAATGTAGTGCTACCCTTTTGGAGAACAGTTTTGTGGTAAATTGCTGCTGCTGCTGCTGCTGCTGCTGCTGCTGGTGATGATGGAAAAGAAGAAGAATAAAATAATGACAATATCAACTAACTCTTATAGCATTTTGTGTGGGCCCTGCACTGTTCTGAGTATTTTGTATATTTTAATGAATCCTCCCAATATCCTATAATTTGGGAACTTGAATTGTCCTTATTTTATTTCATTATTTTTATAAAGTTTATTTATTTATTTTGAGAGAGAATGTGTGTGCGTGAGCAGGAGAGGGGCAGAGAAAGAGAGAGAGAGAGAATCCCAAGTGGGCTTCTTGCTGTCAGCACTGAACCTGACTCGGCTCAGTCTCACAAATTGTGAGATCATGACCCGAGCCGAAATCAAGAATTGGACAAAGTTTAGCTGACTGAGCCACCCCAGCAACCCTGACCTTATTTTAGATATGAGAAATTGAGATGCAGGATAGGTAACTTGCTCAAGATCACATAAATAAGCTAGCGGGTGGTAGAGACATGACTCAAACTCACTAGTCCTACTTTAGGGATGTTTTTCCTCATGAAATCTGAAAATTTGGTGGGGGGTCAACTTCACCATAGGAGTTACTCTTTGCCTCATTGTATCCTCTCCTTTGTTGACACATAGGTATTTTTGTTCATGCTGTTCTTGCTGCTTGAATATTCTTTCTCACCTCCTCTGGCTTGGAACAGGTGCCATTTCCCCCGAGAGCATTTCTTGACCCTCTTCAATCTTGACCTCCCTATCTCTCAGTGGCTTCTGCCACCTTCCACATTGGATGTCCTTTTGTATGTTCCATCTCATCCACTTAACCAATAGTCTCAAATGTTCTGGCTGTATGTTTCCCCTCACCACCACTTGTCCTACTGCTAATTGACTGCTGGGGCTGTGTCTATTTTATTTTTGTATCCCTAGTGCCCAGCACAGTGCCATATATTAGGCTTTTTACTTTCCTTATTATCATTTTCTTATTTTACAAAGTCTTTTCAAGTCAACATAACTTCATCACTATTATCATTATAAATACAATGACCAATACAATTAAATATGACTGAACTTAATAAGTCTGTGTAGGGTCAAGTTTCAACCAATTCAACTGTGTTCTTTTTTAACACTTTAAGATGTATTATTTGGCATTGTTGCTTAGTGGGGCTTTGTTTTTGTTAACACTTCTATCTCTCTTAGACCCCCCCGCCCCCCCCAAAAAAATCCACATCTAAAAGATAGGGTTTCACCTAATTTTCTCTTGCTTTATGAACTTCCTCTTACAATGTCAATTCATAAAATTGACCATGAATCAAACTTCTAGAATGTTTCCATTTTTGGTTTGATTTTGCTTTTTCTTGTACTGATTCTAGACAAGATCCCTCTTTGAGATTGCAAAGCAATTTTATTTTTCCTTTCCAAATTAGTGCTTATTTTTTGTTTGTTTTTAGAGTTACTGAAGGAGTATTACTCAGGATATTTTTCCACCAAGAGGCACAAATGTTTCTGCTAAATTTTTATCCTCTTAGTCTGTATTTTATTTTATTTTTGTATTTTTTAATTAATTAATTTATTTATTTATTTATTGAGAGAGAGAGAGAGAGAGCTCAAGCAGGGGAGGGGCAGAAAGAGAGGGAGACAGGGGATCCAAAGCAGGCTCTGTGCTGACAGCAGAGAGCTCAGTGAGGGGCTTGAACTTATGAACCATGAGATCATGACTTGAGCTGAAGACAGAGGCTTAACGGACTGAGCCACCCAGGTGCCCCTCATTGTCTGTATTTTTTTTTAATGTTTATTTTTGAGGTGGGGGGGAGAGAGACAGAGAGGGAGTGGGGGTGGGACAGAGAGAGAGGGAGACACAGAATCCAAAGCAGTCTCCAGGCTCTGAGCTCTCAGCACAGAGCCTGACATGGGGCTTGAACTCATGACCTAAGCCAAAGTTGGACACCCAACTGACTGAGCCACCTAGGCGCCCCAGTCTGTATTTTAAATACTGGTGTATTATAAGTGTATTGTAGGCCTTGATACATTGGCTGCTGTTGTGCTCAAGATCAGGAAGCGTCTATTTTGATGTCGAGTTTATTGCGGCTGTCTCAAAGATAGCACTACATCTCTTATTTGGGTTAGTTTCAGATGTCTCTTAACTTCCCTTAGTATCAAGACTATTTTAAAAAAACTTGCTATTTTTTTAAATTGTATTTTTTTTCTTTTTCTTTTTATTTTATTTTATTTTATTTTTTTTTAACTTTTTTTAAATTTTTTTTTCAACGTTTATTTATTTTTAGGACAGAGAGAGACAGAGCATGAATGGGGGAGGGGCAGAGAGAGAGGGAGACACAGAATCAGAAACAGGCTCCAGGCTCTGAGCCATCAGCCCAGAGCCCGACACGGGGCTCAAACCCACGGACCGCGAGATCGTGACCTGGCTGAAGTCGGACGCCCAACCGACTGCGCCACCCAGGCGCCCCTGTATTTTATTTTTTTTATCTAAAATATTTTTGAGAGAGAGAGAGAGTGGGAGAGAAGGACAGAGGGAGAGAGAGAAGAAGAGAGAGAGTGAGGGAGAATCTCAAGCACGCTACAGACTCAGTGCAGAGCCCGACACAGGGCTCGATCCCATGACCCTAGGATCATGACCTGAGCTGAAATCAAGAGTTGGACACTCAACTGACTGAGCCACTCAAACACCCTGAAAAACTTGCTATTTTTTACTGCCACTCTTCTTCCCTGTTGAAAACATACTTTAAACATTATTGCATTTTAAAGATGGATGGGGCGCCTGGGTGGCTCAGTGGCTTGAGCGTCTGACTTCAGCTTAGGTCATGATCTACCGGTTCGTGAGTTCAAGCCCTGCATTGGGCTCTGTGCTGACAGCTCAGAGCCTGGAGCCTACATCAGATTCTGTGTCTCCCTCTCTCTACCCCTCCCTCGCTCGCACTCTGTCTCTCTCTATCTCTCTCAAAAATAAATAAACATTAAAAAAATTTTTTTTAAATAATAAATAAAGATGGATAAAGAATTATGCAAAAATTGTAAACCTTAATATTTTGGGTACTTTTGGGTTATCACAGAAGAAAGTGTGGTAGGGAAAGAAATAATCAGTGTGGTCCTTTTTCAAAAAAGGAAATACTTGATAAGTAGGAAGTTGATGTGATTTGTGGGAGCCAATGCTGTTTTGTGAAAAGTAAACAATTTTATTAATCTCCAGCTTTGTGGGCCTCCATCCACTTGTTAAGGAATCAGAAATTATAACACATTTTTGTATTAGCCATGTAAATCAGTGATGGCTGCAGGTTTTGGTAAGTTATATAGTCCTCATTTTTATGCACTTGAATGTTAATTGATTAATTATTAATTAATGAATTATTAATAATATACACATTGTCTTCCCAGGGTTAGGGACATAATTTACCTGGAACAAATCAATGTTTTATTTAACTGTTTGATAGATCTGTCTTGTCTTTTCCCGTCAGTTCAACAACAGAAACTGATCAGTTGGGCTCAGTTAGTTTATACATCTTAAGATTTTTCTAAAATAGATTCTCCTGTTTTATGTGTCTTCTTCCTCATAGCATGATCAAAACAGCAATGAATACACTCTCAGGCCAACTTTGGCAAAGTGGCAGTAATTAGTGCAGGCAGGATAGGTTAGATTTAGATATGAACTCATTGCAAAAATATCGAACAAAGGTTATTCCAAATTAACTCTGGACATCAGTCCCAGTGATTACCCAATAGTCTAGACAGCTTAAGAACAGAGTATTCTTTGCTCTGAACAGATTAATTTGTACTCTATTAAGAAGTTGACCTAGAACTAGCCAAGCTTGCTTTCATATCTGTTCTGGCTGACTTATTCATTAGGCACAGTCGGGACATTATTAAGGTCTCTTGATGTTACTTTTAGAGGCCAATGAGATATTTTATTTTAAAATCAGAAGAAAAAAATGAATGTGATCCAGTCTGGATTATGTTTGTCTTTATACCAACATAGTAGTAAAATAGAATTTTTAATATTTTTTTTTAATGGAGGAAGAGGCCCACTAAGGCAACAGGGTCAAGGTCCCATGAAAGTCCCAATGTGACCCTACTACAGTAGCATCAAGACTATTTTTTCTCCTTTTTTAATAGACACTACTGTTTTACAATTTTCTCCTTTAATTCAACAGTCAGTATGCTTACTCTTTGTCTTTTGTCCCCTACAATGCAGAGCCGTCTGTATATACTGAAGGAGTTACACGTTTGAGTGTATGTTTGAGGTCAGTTCACCACACTGGGGGATGTGAACATTGACATCATTACCTCCAAGGCGTTGCACTTATTAACATTAATACATGATAGTATACTATTAGGTTTACTTGTATTTGAGGATCTCTAGATCAGTAATATTTTTAAAGTGGAGGCAAACATTTATAAACTATAGTCAGATGTGTTCAAAATGACTTACGTTCTTAATGTTTCAGTAACTGTTCTGATTTTGCTCTGAAGTCCCCATTCCCATGGTGGGAAAAGGGGTCCCAACAAAGAGAGACTTCAGCTAGTCGGTTATACAGATAACTCCATCTATTTGGGCTCTGGTATCTTTTGGATAAATGTTCAGTCTCTCTTCTCTTTCAGGCTTCTCTTCAGGCTTCTCTTTTCTTGTTCCCTAGCACGTTTGGACTAATGACTTTCAACTTCAGTTTGGGAGGGTGATTTGCTAGAGATGAGGGGGCTAAGGGAGACATGTGTGCTGGGTTGAGAAAGTTGAGGCCAGTAGCATGTGCTACTACTCTTTCTGCTTAGACTCCTCTGTCAACTATTAAGGAGCAGAAATTGCCTCATAAATGTAAAGCGCATTTAAAGTTTAGAAGCAAGCTATCTTTTTTTCTCTATATAAAGTGTGACTTTAAAGATAAAATAAAATTAGCTTTGGGCCCTGAAGCCAACCAAAGATGTTTAAATTCTAGGCTGTATTCTCCTCCTTTCCTGTAGCAATAAGACAAATGTTTTGGCCTTAATAGCCAAAGGGGTTTGGTGAAGGAAACCTGTTTACAGAAAAGAGAAGATGCCTGAATAGGCAGCTACATGTATTTGCATAGCAGTTAACAAGATACACTTTTGGGGTACCTGAGTGGCTCAGTCAGTGAAGTGTCTGACTCTTGATTTTGGCCCAGGTCATAATCTCATGGTCATGAGATCAAGCTCCACGTCGGGATCTGTCCTGGATGCGGAGCCTGCTTAGGATTCTCTCTCCCTCTACCCCTCCCCCGCTTGCTTGCTCTCTCTCCAAAAAAGAGGGTACACTTTCAAGTCAGATAAAACCCAGTTCCCTCATCTATTAGCTTTGTCATCTTAAGAATGTTGTTTGAGGGGCGCCTGGGTGGCGCAGTCGGTTAAGCGTCCGACTTCAGCCAGGTCACGATCTCGCGGTCTGTGAGTTCGAGCCCCGCGTCAGGCTCTGGGCTGATGGCTCAGAGCCTGGAGCCTGTTTCCGATTCTGTGTCTCCCTCTCTCTCTGCCCCTCCCCCGTTCATGCTCTGTCTCTCTCTGTGCCAGAAATAAATAAACGTTGAAAAAAAAAAAAAAAAAAGAATGTTGTTTGACATCTCTGACCCTTGGTTTCTTCATCTGTATAATAGGTAACTAAATTTTTTTTAATGAGGAATAGTTACTTAATACATGTAAGGCATTGTGTACTTTATACATAGCAAACAGTCTTCAGAATTTGTTTGCAAAGGAAAGAAAATGAACATGACATTGGATGGAGGGTCAGTATTATTTATGCTGTTATGTGTGGATATTTCAAGTTCCTATGAAAGAAACATTTTCCTGATAGTCCCTCTAATAGAATTCCGTATAAGGATACATGAGGAACTAAAGGACAAAGGAGTTAGGGAGTGAGAAGACCAGGAATCACATTAGTCCTAGTGAAGTCTGGCTGGGTGGTAATCCGACTGTGAATCTACTGTCTGCAATCTGAAAGATCCTACATAACAGAGAAATGCATACTTAAAAATTAGTTCACTCTAGGGGCACCTGGGTGGCTCAGTTGGTTAAGTGTCTGACTTTGGCTCAGATCATGATCTTGTGGTTCACAAGCTCGAGCTCTGCTCAAGCTGAGCTGACAGCTCAGAGCCTGGAGCCTGCTTCAGATTCTGTGTCTCCCTCTCTCTCTGCCCCTTCCTTGCTCGCGCGCTCTCTTTCTCAAAATTAAAGAAACAGTTAAAAAAATAATAAAAAATAAACAAAATGAAAACCCCCAAATCTTAAAAAAAATATTACCTTTATATTATATTAGAATTAAGTTGTTATATTGACTTAGATGTGTTGGTAGATTATAATATCTATGAATTGCAGTTCAGGTTTATAAGAAGGATGTAAAATATTTTTTTTAAGTAATTTAATCAGGGGCACCTGGGTGGCTCATTTGGTTAAGTGTCTGACTTCGGCTCAGGTCATGATCTCATGGTTTGTGAGTTCAAGCCCCGCATCCAGCTGTGTGCTGACAGCTCAGAGCCTGGAGCCTGCTTCAGATTCTGTGTCTCCCCTCTCTCTGCCCCTCTCCTGCTCATGCTCTGTCTTTCTCTCTCTCTCAAAAATAAATTAAAACATTAAAAAAAAAATTAGTCACTCTAGTTCGTCTATATTGCTAACAAAGTGAAGTACAGTAAGATTGAGCCAATTAATGGTGGTGTAATGAATAAATGAGAGGTGGCAAAGTGATCTTGATTTTCCCCTCTTTTTCACTCAGGTGGTGAATGGAAAGTTCGTTATGAGACACAACTTGAACTGAATGATCAATTAGAAAAGCAAATTGTTTCTCTGGAAGAGAAAATGAAAAAAATTTGTGGAAATCCTTCAGGTACAGAAACAACTATATATATGTTTTTAAGTTCATTTAAAAGTGATAGAATATTAATTGTTCATATTTGCTTTGTTGTAGATAGATTGTCTTTTATCCGTGTCTATGAAAAAATGCCAGTGGTGAGTAAAAGCTGGTTAAATAAGAAGAATAATTGAAGGAAAGAAATTATGTACTGTTTAAAAAAATAGATCCTCCCAAACATTTAAAGACTGTATCAAGTTACAAATAAAGTATTTTGTTCATTGGAACTCTTCCTAGGAAGTAAGGAGTTCTGTAGCAAAATCTTCAACTTAATGTTTACCTTATAAAGCTGGGCAGGGTTGCAGGTACAACCAAAATGGAAGAAAAAGAATTTCAGTAATCAGGCTGGGTGGAAACACAAGTGTGTTTATTCTGTAACCTAAAAGAGCCTATTAAACACAGAAATACAAATCTTTACCTACATAAAAACATTTGCATTCCACTTCCTCTGGAATATATATATACACATGTATAGATATACACACATATATATTCACATTCACACACACACACACACACTATATATATATGTGTAATCCAACAGAGAACCCACAAAATTACCCTATAACATGAAAGAAACCTCATTGAGCTTATCTACCTATTTTTTCTTTGGGCGGCCCTAATGACATCCTTTCCTCCTGATAAATTACTTAAATTCATATGTTTTATATTTTACAAAGAACATTTATTTGTTTTTCATTGATTTAAATTTTTTTTTTCAACGTTTATTTATTTTTGGGACAGAGAGAGACAGAGCATGAACGGGGGAGGGGCAGAGAGAGAGGGAGACCCAGAATCGGAAACAGGCTCCAGGCTCTGAGCCATCAGCCCAGAGCCTGACGCGGGGCTCGAACTCCCGGACCGCGAGATCGTGACCTGGCTGAAGTCGGACGCTTAACCGACTGCGCCACCCAGGCGCCCCTGTTTTTCATTGATTTAAATGTTTATCCTTTAAAATGTAGAGAAGATCTGATGCATGACTTTTCTGGGTCTAGAGCATGCTTGGAAATAGCCTTTTCTTTGTAACTCATGCTGCATTTTTACTTAAGGAATATTCAGAAAAACATGGAAATATTATTAAAAATCAAGGGTACCTAATATGAAAATGAAAATATAATACTCACCTAAATTGGCAGGATTATAACTCCATGAGATAAAATTTAATATTATTCCTTTTAATACCTGTGACACTAAGCTTAAAATGACTAAGTGAGGGGCACCTGGGTGGCTTAGTCATTTGAGTGTCCAACTCTTGATTTCAGCTCAGGCCATGATCCCAGGGTCGTGGGATCCAGCCCTGCATCAGGCTCCATGCTAAGTGTGGAGCCAGCGTAAGATCCCCTCTCTCTCTCTCTCTCTCTCTCTCTCTCTCTCTCTCTCTCTCTCCCCCCTCCTCTGCCCCTCTCCCTCTGCCCCTCTCCCTCTGCCCCTCTCCCTCCGCCCTCTCTTCTATCTCTCAAAACAAAAACAAAAACAAAAAAAATGACTGATTTGCTCAAAATCACACAGTCTGGAAATGTGGAGGTCAATTCTCTTCCTCTAAAAAAAACTTATGCCCATTTGACTACACCATACTATGCCAACAGCCGTTCTATACCACTTACCAGAAGTAACATGTTTTTTAATAGTGGTACATAGAGCACTAAACTGACTGCTATATTCACAGAGGTCCTGGGGACCAGAGCATTTATGGAGATTGCTCTTTGAATAACTGCAGACCTTTAGTGAAAAATACAGAAAAATCTTGTATTTTTTAAAATAATGATTCAGGAAAGAAATAATCTAATTTGTACACCTCCATTATTTTCAACCCAGAAATACCTTTATTACTATGGCTTGGAAAGTCAGGAACATAACATTTTTTCCCCCCTACCATAGAGTCATATCCCCATCTTGTGGTATTTAGAAATTGCTGCAAGGGCTATTTTAAGCCTTGTCTTTCTTAACTGTAGATAGAATTTTAATTCTACCTATAGAATATAGAATATAAAATATTCTGGCTCCCTGTTTCTTGATAACTTATCCTCAGTACTAGCTTAAGAAATTGGGTATCGCCAGCCTTATGGAGAGTGGCCACAAGAGCTGCTGTGCCATGGTGCAGTACTCTAGAGCAACCCAAGAAGCATTTGATTGGCTTTCTAACTGGTGCCTCAGACTCCATAACATACTCATGTTGACAAAAAATACATTTCTTCCCTTTGATGGGTTTGTGTTAATCTTGAAAAAAATATGATCTTCTAAGAGGTTTAGCTCTGGAGACAGATAATTTTATTTCTTTTCAGTAAAGGACTGAAGACATTTTAGAAGAACCAAGAGTAAGGCCATGTACCAAGCAGAAACGAAAGATAATGAAAGTGCAGCTCTTGAGGAGCTGGTTCTCTCTATTTTGGGGGCAGATACCCTGCATGCATGAGTATTTAGGTTTTCTTACACATGGAATCTGGGAGGAGTTTGTCTGAACAGCAGCAGATTAGGAATCTAGCCAAGGAGCTGGTGATAGAAGTAGCCAACTACTGAGCAAAAAGCATTGGGATCCAAGAATCTGATATCCAATGACAAAATCTTTTATTCAAGGTTAAAAGAGAATATATTAAGTCTTATTCTTTATATAAAAACAATATTTATGAAATTCAGATATATACTCTATGAAATGCAGACATTTTTGGTTTCCTATTAGGTTGATAATTGGAGAAAAGGGTTTAAATTGTTTTTTGGGCGGGGATAGAATATGAAATGAAACACTTTTTATAAATTTACTGATTCTTAATCTTTGTTGTAGATTGTTTAGTCTTTAGGAGTAACCTATACAGACATACGTAAGAAACTGATGTCAGTTTGAATACCAATTTTGACTAACTTCAAATTGCAAGTTTGTGTATGGGCAAAACAGGGATGAATACTAATTTATGACCAGTATATATGTCATTTAAAAAAATGTTATCATTTAGAAAAAAATATATAAAATATTAAGTAAGTAATTTACAAACTGGGTCATAAAAGTGGACTTGATCTTAGTATTCTAGAAAAAGTATTCACTTAAGTGAGAATGAAGTTCTGGTCCTTGTTCTGATACAGAATGGTATCAACCTTTTTGAAGGTTGAAGATCAACCTCAACCTTTTTGAAGATTATTTTTCTCACCCACAGGTACTATATAGATTAGGTAATCTTTAAAGTGCCTTTCAACAGTATAATTTGTTAGAATTTAATTTTAGCAAGATATTTCAGTAAAGGGTTACATTTGGTTGCGTGTAAAAGAAAGGCTTAAACCAGTAAGGTGTTTGGTTTTGTTTTCTCATGTAACAGGAAGTGTTAGAGGGATGCAGTTGGGGTTGGTATAATGGCTCCTCCAGACTCTTGACTCTCCACTCGGTCCTTTAATGAGTGGTTTTTGTCCAGCATGGTCACAAATGGCTACTTCACTTTCTCACCTGCTTCACCTTCTCTTTCAGAGAAAGAAGTAGATGAAGGGAAAAGGGCAAAGGTGAAGGCCAGTCAAGTCTGTTTTCTTTCAAAGTATTTTCCAACGTGCTGCACCCAACATCTCCCCTTACATCTCATTGGTTAGAACTGCATCATGTGGCCTCCTGTATCTTGAAGGAAGACTGAGAAATTTAGTGTTTTACTGAGCATGGTAGTAGGAAGAAGGGGAGAATGTGTATCAGTTATACAATTAGCTCTATGTGCCGGGGCGCCTGGGTGGCTTGGTCGGTTAGGCGTCCGACTTCGGCTCAGGTCATGATCTCGCGATCCGTGAGTTCGAGCCCCGCGTCGGGCTCTGTGCTGACAGCTTGGAGCCTGGAGCCTGTTTCGGATTCTGTGTCTCCCTCTCTCTCTCTGCCCCTCCCCTGTTCATGCTCTGTCTCTCTCTGTCTCAAAAATAAATAAACATTAAAAAAAAAAAAAAAAGAAAGAAACCAATTAGCTCTATGTGCCATACAAGATCATTTTCAATGAATACCGTTCATTTTAAAGTAGTATGCATTCATTTAATATTATTCAGAAAATAAAAGACAAAGATAAGTATTAAGTCAAACATATCTACTGTTGGCCTCTTTTTTAAAAGTTTTGCATGCATGTATATTGATTAAAAATTACAACCCGGGGCGCCTGGGTGGCTCAGTCGGTTAAGCGTCCGCCTTCAGCTCAGGACATCATCTCATGGTTCTTGTGTTCAGGCCGGTGTTTGGCTCTGTGCTGACAGCTTGGAGCCTTGAGCCTGCTTTGGATTCTGTGTGTGTGTGTGTGTGTGTGTGTGTGTGTGTGTGTGTGTGTCTGTGTCTGTGTCTCTCTTTGCCTCTCCCCCATTTGTGCTTTGTCTCTCTCTCTCTCTCAAAAATAAACATTAAAAAAATAAAAATTACAACCCAGTAAATAAATGAACCCCAAAAAAGGAAAAAATAAGGACTTACTTTTTTTTTTTTAGTAAAAGGTAAAAGATTTATTCGAAAAGAAACCAGAATATAAGGATAGCATTTCTAAAATATATATTTTAGAATTTTAACCTTGTTTTGTGGATAATTTTGTATCCTGTAGTAGTCATGGACAATTAAACCAATGATTTTCTTATGTTATATTTTCTTCCTGTATATTTTTGAAAGCTACGTTATTTTCCATTGCACTGGATTATTAATATTCAATTCCTTTTCCCTATATTTGAATATGTTAGGTTATTTGTGGTTTTAATTTTGAATAGAATAGAACTCACAGAGGATAATCTGACAACCAATATATTCTAGTATTAGTAACTCTTTAGTTTTTGTCACTTTTTGATTTCAGTATTTTAATGAAAACAATCTATAGAGTCGAGGACCCTTTTGTTTCTCTCCCTGTCTCTCTCCCTTTGCTTCCTCTTTATAGGACAGTACTATCATAGATTTGGTATACATCATTCCAATTTATTTTTAAATACCTTTCTACAGATATTGTATCTAAAAATTCATATAAAAATATCATGTTGCACACATGCTTTTTTAAAATTCTGTCCATGTTAATACATAAGGATCTGATAAGTTTTGTTTGCTACATAGTATTCCACTTTATATATATATATATATCTTCATTTGCTCCCCTATTTATGTACATTGTGGATTTTTCAA